CCACACCACAAACAACAACTACCACACCACAAACAACAACTACCACACCACCAACAACAACAACTACCACACCAAAAACAACAACAACTACCACACCAGAACCAACTACAACAACTACCACACCACAAACAACAACAACAACAACAACTGCCACACCACAGACAACAACTACCACACCACAAACAACAACTACCACACCACAAACAAAAACTAACACACCACAAACAACAACTACCACACCACAAACAACAACAACTACTACCACACCACCATCAACAACAACTACCACACTACCAACAACAACAACTACAACACCACAAACAACAACAACTACAACACCACAAACAACAACTACTACAACACCACAAACAACAACAACTACCACACCACAAACAACACCTACCACACCACAAACAACAACTACCACACCACAAACAACAACTACCACACCACCAACAAAAACAACGACCACACCAAAAACAACAACAACTACCACAACAGAACCAACTACAACAACTACCACACCACAAACAACAACAACAACAACAACTGCCACACCACAGACAACAACTACCACACCACAAACAACAACTACCACACCACAAACAAAAACTAACACACCACAAACAACAACTACCACACCACAAACAACAACAACTACTACCACACCACCATCAACAACAACTACCACACTACCAACAACAACAACTACAACACCACAAACAACAACAACTACAACACCACAAACAACAACAACTACCACACCACAAACAACACCTACCACACCACAAACAACAACTACCACACCACAAACAACAACTACCACACCACCAACAAAAACAACGACCACACCAAAAACAACAACAACTACCACAACAGAACCAACTACAACAACTACCACACCACAAACAACAACAACAACAACAACAACTGCCACACCACAGACAACAACTACCACACCAGATACAACAACTACAACACCACCACCAACAACAACTACAACTGCTACATCACAAATAGTAAGTACCACACCACAACCAGCAACAACAACAACTACCACACCACAAACAGCAACAACTACAACACCACAAACAACAACTACCACACCACAACCAGCAACAACAACTACCACACCACAACCAGCAACAACAACTACCACACCACAAACAGCAACAACAACTACCACACCACAATCAACAACAACAACCAAACTAAATACATTAACAACTGACACCCCAAAATCAACAACTACCACACCACCAGCAACAGCAACTACCACACTGCAAAAAATAAGAACCGTACCACAAACAACAACAACTACCACACCACTAACAACAACTACCACACCACAAACAACAACAACCACACCACAAACAACAACTACTACCACACCACAAACAACTACTACCACGCCACAAACAACAACAACTACCACACCACAAACAACTACAACATCACAAACAACTACAACCACACTACAAACAACAACTACTACCACACCGCCACCAACAATAACTACCACACAACAAACAACAACTACCACACCACAAACAACAACATCTACCACACCACAAACAACAACAACCACACCACAAACAACAACTACCACACCACAATCAACAACTACCACACAACAAACAACAATTACCCCAACACAAACAACAACTACCACACCACAAACAACAACTATCACACCACAAACAACAACTACCACACTACCAACAACAACAACTACCACACAACCACCAACAACAACTACCACACCATCAACAGCAACTACCACACCACAAGCAACAACTACTACCACACCACAAACAACAACTACCACAGCACAAACAACAACAACCACACCACAAACAACAACATCTACTAACACACCTCAAACTACAACAACTACCACACCACAAACAACAACAACTACAACACCACAGACAACAACTACCACACCACAAATAACAACATCAACTAACACACCACAAACAACAACTACCACACCACAAACAACAACAACTGCCACACCACAAACAACAACTACAACCACATCACAAACAACAACAACTACCACACCAGAACCAACTACAACTACAACCACACCACAAACAACAACAACTACCACGCCACAAACAACAACTACCACACCACAAACAACAACTGTCACACCACAAATAACAACATCAACTAACACGCCACAAACAACAACAACTACCACACCACAAACAACAACTGCCACACCACAGACAACAACTACCACATCACAAACAACAACAACAACTACCACACCACAAACAACAACAACTGCCACACCACAAACAACAACTACAACCACATCACAAACAACAACAACTACCACACCAGAACCAACTACAACTACAACCACACCACAAACAACAACAACTACCACGCCACAAACAACAACTACCACACCACAAACAACAACTGTCACACCACAAATAACAACATCAACTAACACGCCACAAACAACAACAACTACCACACCACAAACAACAACTGCCACACCACAGACAACAACTACCACATCACAAACAACAACAACAACTACCACACCACAAACAACAACAACTGCCACACCACAAACAACAACAACTACCACACCAGAACCAACTACAACTACAACCACACCACAAACAACAACAACTACCACACCACAAACAACAACTACCACACCACAAACAACAACTGTCACACCACAAATAACAACATCAACTAACACGCCACAAACAACAACAACTACCACACCACAAACAACAACTGCCACACCACAGACAACAACTACCACATCACAAACAACAACAACAACTACCACACCACAAACAACAACAACTGCCACACCACAAACAACAACTACAACCACATCACAAACAACAACAACTACCACACCAGAACCAACTACAACTACAACCACACCACAAACAACAACAACTACCACGCCACAAACAACAACTACCACACCACAAACAACAACTGTCACACCACAAACAACAACTACCACACCACCTTCAACACCAACTACCACTCCACAAACAACAACTACCACACCACAAACAACAACAACAACTACCACACCAACACCAACAACAACTACCACACCACAAACAACAACTACCACACCACAAACAACAACAACTACCACACCACAAACAACAACTACCACACCACAAACAACAACTACCACACCACAAACAACAACAACTACCACACCACAAACAACAACAACTACCACACCACAAACAACAACAACTACCACACCAGAACCAACTACAACTACAACCACACCACAAACAACAACAACTACAACACCACAAACAGCAACTACCACACCACAAACAACAACTACCACACCACAAACAACCACAACTACCACACCACCAACAACAACAACTACCACACCACAAACAACAACTACCTCACCACCAACAACAACTATCACACCACAAACAACAACTACCACACCCCCAATAACAACAACTACCACACCACAAACAACAACAACTACCACACCACAAACAACAGCAACTACCACACCACAAACAACAACTACCACACCACAAACAACAACAACTACTACACCACAAACAACAACAACTACCACACCACCAACAACAACAACTACCACACCACAAACAACAACTGCCAGACCACCACCAACAACAACTACCACTCCACAAACAACAACAACCACACCACAAACAACAACTACCACACCAACAACTACCACACCACAAACAAGAACAACTACGACACCACAAACAACAACAACTACCACACCACAAACAACAACAACTACCACACCACCACCAACAACAACTACCACACTACCAACAACAACTACCACACCACAAATAACAACTTCTACACCACAAACAACAACTACCACACCACAAACAACAACTACCACACCACAAACAACAACAACTACCACACCACAAACAACTACAACCACACCACAAACAACTACAACTGTACCACAAACAACAACAACAACTAACACATCACCAGCAACTACAACTAATACACCACAAACAACAACTACCACGCCACAAACAACTACAACACCACAAATAACAACAACCACACAACAAACACAAACTACCACACCACAAACAACAGCAACTATCACACCACCACCACCAACAACAACAACTACCACACCGCAAACAACAACTACCACACCACCACCACCAACAACAACAACAACTACCACTCCACCAACAACAACTACCACACCACCACCAACAACAACTACCACACCACAAACAACAACTACCACACCACAAACAACAACAACTACCACACCACAAACAACAACAACTACCACACCACCACCAACAACAACTACCACACCACAAACAACAACAAGTACCACACCACAAACAACAACAACTACCACACCACAAACAACAACAACTACCACACCACCAACAACAACAACTACCACACTACCAACAACAACAACTACCACACCACAAACAACTACAACATCACAAATAACATCAACCACACCACAAACAGCAACAACTGCCACACCACAAACAACTACAACCACACCACAAACAACTACAACAACTACCACACCACCAGCAACTACAACTAATACACCACAAACAACAACTACCACACCACAAACAACTACAACACCACAAATAACAACAACCACACAACAAACAACAACTACCACACCACAAACAACAACAACTATCACACCACCACCACCACCAACAACAACTACCACACCGCAAACAACAACTACCACACCACCACCACCAACAACAACAACTACCACTCAGCAAACAACAACTATCACACCACCACCAACAACAACTACCACTCCACAAACAACAACTACCACACCACCACCACCAACAACAACAACTACCACACCACAAACAACAACTACCACACCACCACCAACAGCGACAACTATCACACCACAAACAACTAACATGCCACAAACAACAACGACCATGCTGAAGACAACCGCCCCTAACACAACAACCACCAGTGTCGAAATAACAACAGCCAGACCTCAACTAGGAACCACTACACCCATCATGTACAAAAAAATAACGTCACCTAAAAAAACAACTACTGGCGTTCAAACAACGAGCGCCACCGCCCAAACAAGAAATGTCACACCTCAAGCACCAACTACTACAGATGCCACATCTAAAACAAGTACCACCACATTTGAAATGAAAACTATGACACAACAAACAAAACGTACCCCAACTCAAGCAACAACTTCAATACCTCAAACAATACTTACCAACACTGCAGCAACAACAACGACAACAACAACCACACCTCAAGCAAGTTCATCAGCTGACCCTGATACAACAACTACCACATATGACAAAACAACTACCGTCGCGGTAACTACAACTGATACAGCACAAAGAACAACAACCACACCCCGTACAGCTACCACGACAGCCGTCACGACAGCCGTCACGACAGCCGTCACACAAGAAGTAACAACTATCGACATTTCATCTGAAACAACGACCGAATCTGAAACGGCTACGTGGACTCTTGAATCAAAAACTACATCACCTCAAACGCCATATGTAACAACTACGCTGCCGTCAACAACAATTAATGCAAATGCACTCTCCTCAACAACCGAACAGCCAGTCTCACATTCCTCCCCAACATTGCCGTCAACGTTCTTACGGCAGAACACGCGAACAACACCACAGACGAACACCAGGACAACGATACTGGGACTGATATTAACCCCACCAATACTCCCACCGACAACGACGAACAATTTGACAACCCTACCCCCTTCCACTACCCAGATATCAACTACGGTACCTTCATCGATAACAATGACAACGGATTTACTTTCCACCACACAAGAATCGCTTCCATCGAAGACCCAATCACCTCTCCCTTCACATACACCACCAGGCATGACTAATGCTACGTTACCGCCTTCTACTACAGCTACAACACAAACAGCATCTCCATCTTCTTTTCAACGAGCAAGCACATCCGCACAGACAATGCCATCAATTTCAGACACATCAACAAGTATAGGTTCATATTCAACAAACAGGAATACGAACACACAAATGCCTACAACCTCAAAGGAGCAAACAACGACAGCGGCAATGATAACAACACCATCATCACCCCCGAAAACCGCACCCCCAATAACACAATCAATAATTCATACTGCGATGACATCTACCAACTTCTTCTCCATGGTTCCGACACCACCACCAGTACCTACCCAAAAACCCACTGTCCCCCTCACCACGTCTGCTTACCCAACTTCTGGAAAGATATCACGTGCTAGTAAACAACAACAGCAACAACGACAACGACAACAACAATCTCCTGCCATGCCAAGAACACCAAGAGTGACGCCAGCTCCCTCCTCAAGTCACAAAGATGTCTCCACCAACAAAGCGGGGGAGGACGGCGGTGGCTCGGGGTCGGCGCCCATTGCTGCTGGAGTCTCCACCGTAGGACTGCTCTCTTCCGCCGCTGGTGTCTTTGCCTACTGCTTTAGAAGGTAAGTCCCAAATACTGTCAGCTCAGTCAGCTGAGGGTTTGAAGAGACTCTGTCCACATTCCTCGTTTTGAGAGAAAAAAAGAGATTTCTTTTTTTTAGAGCAAGGCGCAATAGGCAACTCTTGGACATAGACACATCGGGAATTGTGATTTTGGCAAAACTTTCTGAGCGGAGGGGTTCGATATTTTACTTACATGATCCGTTTGATGGATCCATTATGCCGTTTTTGGCATTCTCCCCAAAATGTACATGTTTACTCCTGGTCCTCAGCTCAGCAAACGATGAATTCCAGAATTTTCTTGTCTAATAACCGGTGTCTGTGGTGTGGTGGTCACGTGGTTCTTCGTCCGACGCACACAAAAAAAAACCTACCACCACCCCCCCAAAAAAAAAAAAACAACAAAAAAACAAAACAACAACAACAACAGCAAACAAACAACAACAACCAAACCAAACCCACGTGAGCTCCATTCCCGAGTGGGGAGACATAATTTTATCAAGAGTGTTCTGCCGAGATCTAGTAGAAATGCGCTTTATGATATATGCAATTTCTTGTTCTTGTTCTTGTTCTTCTTCTTCTTCTTCTTCTTCTTCTTCTTCTTCTTCTTCTTAACATCATTATTCCTTAACCCAATCCGTCCGGGTTGGCGCTGAGAGGTAGGATCGAAGCAGGCCGTGCCCTAAAATATTGTCGAAATTGAATAAGTACTTTAAACATTTACTATAATTAAAATAAATCCTTAAAGCCTTGATACAGTCTTCGGGGAACCGCCATGTTGATCTAAGCTTCAGACTGTTGCAAGCAATTTTTCAGATTGTGACCGAGGAGCTGTATATCTACACAAGGCTTCTTCGCCTTCACCAGTAAGGCTTGTCTGATCATTCGCCACCATGAGGAAACTGACCAGTTCCCGTGTAAGGCCAACCAGCATCTATGGTGTAGCAGCAAGGCGTCTGAGGTCATACGCAGAAGATCTTAGTTCGATCTCCGTGAGGATAAGGGTGGGGTGGGGGTGGGGTTAGGGGTTATCAAATATCTAATTTTTTTTTTACTGGGAAGTATCCCTCTCAGTCCGGAATGGCCATGGCAGGCAAGGTCGAAACCCACCTCCTATCTAAGTTAATTGTGTCTAAAGGGGTGTAAAAACTCACATTTTGAATAAAAAAGAGCAAGAACTGCTACATTGTATTTCATTTCAACATGGCTTGATTCCAATACGTACATGAGTTTTACTGGGGTTTTTTGTTTGTTCTTGTACTGTGTTCGAAGAAAAACAACAAAATATACAGACTTAAAATTTTAAGTTGTTGCTCAGTGATAGCACATTTGGCAACCAAACTCTCCTTACTGCACCCATATGCACGCACGCACGCACGC